AAAGGAAAACAGTATGCGCCGCGTTAACATTAATATTATCTTAACTTGTTAAGGAAAAACAAGTTTTAAAAAAATGAACCGTAATTACATTTTTTCATTAATGTAGTTCTGAGTCGGTTGAAAAATTCTCGGCATAGGAAAAATCAGCCAGATATAGGCCTTACACGGTGGGAATAAATCACATAACAAGAAGCTGAAGGCCTATCATTCTCACTTAGCGGACTTCTTCATGATTCAATTCTAGCCGGCTACGCGTAGCGAGACACCCCCACCCCTAAAAAAAAAACGAGGGGAGGAAACGTCTGCGAAAAGGTGGTGGGCATCGATACAGATAGGCTAAATCCCGTTCACATGAATTAAAAGAAAAGGCTAGAAGAATGACTAATAGCTATTATTCCGGAATTTTGGCTAAGTACATTGAAGTTTGAAATTAGAAAAGCAGAAACACAATTTAAAAAAACAGTTAGGTCCAAGCTAGAAAATGCTTTCTAATTTCATGTTTTACAAGCCAAAAAATGTAGGAAATGCTAAGTGTCGACCGACCATCGACCGAGTGTCGACCAATTACTGACCGATACATCGGTCAAGTATCGACCAACTATCTCGGACCAACTATCGGCGAAGTGTCGGCGAAATGTCGGCGAAGTGTCGGTGAACGAAAAGCTACATCGGCCGAGACACATCTGGAACGACTATCGACAGTGTCTCGACCGAGTGTCGACCCACTATCGACCGACTATCGACCGAGTGTCGACCGAGTATCGACCTACTGTCGACCGAGTGTCGACCGACTATCGACCGAGTGTCGACCGCTATATCGACCGATATCTCGGTCGAGATTACCCACAGTAAACAAGATCCGAAATTTTAATACATAACATGAATCGCTGATTTACAAAACATGACGTTCGTAGCAAGGGAAAGTTCAGAGTTGCGTGGATTTTGCGTGGAGATCTGCCATATTGCACGCAATTCACAATTCAGTGGCAATCGCGTGTAAGTGCTGCAATGCCCGTGGCCTCTACTGTATCATAAAATTTAGACATTAGTACCCAAAATCTCACAATATTTGTTCCAAGAATTAAGTAATATGATAACTAAACCCTCTGCTCGCAAGCACTTCACCTTCCAAAAGGAACGACTAGCAATACTCAAGTTTATAAGAACCTGTTCAGCCTGGCGAGGAAAAGAGGTTGTCATGTGCACAATATAAACAGCCTAAAATGTTTTGTTCAGCATGTTATTGTTTAGTCAGCAAGCCTTCTGACTATTCTTTTATATTTGGCAAGCATATGTTTGTCATTTAAACTAGTTTTAAACTATATATGCACTGATGGTGTAATATTTCTGCGAATGACTATGCTAGGACAAACTCTGAAAATTAAGAACCTATTCGAAAAACTTAATCAGCTTGATTTGTCAAAAAGTACCCTGAAATAATATAAGAACCTGTTCAGCCTGATCTCGAAACTTCTAGGTTCTTATATGCGGTTAACGTTGTTTAATGAATATCTATATTTCTTGAACTATAAAAAGCACTTTAGTTGTTGATGAAGTCCGAAGGACTCTTTGAACCTGTGCAATTATTGCAAAGAAACAAGTTTTCGGCGAAAAGACTTCTGGGGAAAAGCAATCCTTCGAGCTCTTTTGTCGCGGGCAACGGTCAGCGGGACAACGCTTTGCTGGCGTTGCCACACTGACCAAAAAGCCAGAAGACTCTGGGTACGAGATTGTGTCGCGGAAGTAATGTGACCAACCACTGACCAAAGAGCCCGGGGACTCAGATATGGGTGAAAAAGAGGTAATAAGTCAACTCTCTCATAGCGAGCACTTCTCACTGGCGACCGCAACCACACATAACCGTTTTGTTTCTCAGTCAAATACTATTTCAAAAACTCTCTCGTAAGCGACCACTAATTAAATTTCTTAACGACCTCGACTACTTTTTCAACCAGCAATTTGACATATTTTGTTTTCTGTTCCCCGTAAGCGACCATCTGGCATGATCACCAATGACTGTAAGAAAACCATTCCTCGAATGTCGCAAAAGTTCAGTTTCATCAGTTTTTGATAGCGCTGACCAAACGTGCTTACAGATGACTTACAAAAAAGATGGCTGTATTACGATCTGTAGGTAAAAAGTGGATTGTAACATTTATGCAAAAATGTTATCCACAAAGTTTCAACAGTTTCATGTATAAGATTATTGCCAGTTGTCCATTTGCCTCAGTTTTAGCTTTTAAGGTTATAATTTTATGTAATTAGAGAGGTTAAGCATCCGCATTTACGTCAAACCGCAAACGCGAATTTGTACCAAGTGACCAAAGTTTCCTCTACTTTTCGTTTACTGTTCATTATTTCTAAACCTAAAGTTGTATTTTCACGCAATTTTTTATCCATAAGAATTGTTTTGAGCTGTTTTATCTGCTCATTTTCTATTTTGAGAAATTCTCAACTTGAACCTGACTTTTGCCGTTTGCCGTACCCGTTAAGCTTTAACTCTCTATTATGCTAATCAGTAGATCACTTTGAGCTTAAGCTAGCTTATTTTCCTGATTTTTCCCGTCGACGACGTCCTGTAAGCCAACCACTTTGTCCTGCACCAAGGGTGGTCGCTTACCGTGACGTGGGAGTTGACTTATGAGTAGGGGTGTAACGATTTCCTCGAGCCCGAATGGGCTCTGAGTCAATAGCCCTTGAGACCGAAGGCCGAATGGGCTATTGACTCAGAGGCCATGAGGGCGAGAGGAATAATTGTTTTAGTAAAATCCAACTAGTTGGTCTAAAATATCGAGGCAAAACAACTTTAGCTAGTTAAAGCTAGACTTTAATCCTTTTTTGCTGCCAAAAAGCCAGCGCTTTTCGATACTAGTGGGCTATAACATATAGCCTAGCAGTAGTTCAACCAATCAGAACGCAGCATTGATAATACACCACTGGCTGGATTTTAAATATTCCTTGCGATTCGATTCGATTTCGATTATTTCGATTTGATTATGTAAATGTTTCGTAATTCTTATAACATAATACGTAATGTTAACAACATTCAACCCTAAACCCTCAATTTGAGAATAGTAATAGGGAAAAGAGGATTCACAGCCGCTTGGTCCTTCGTCGCCATGTTTGAGAACCTGACAAAGAGCGTTTCGCACATGGTTTGCCTTATTTGGAAATTCTCAAGGGGTGGTCAAAGGATAGCATTTTTCCAGGTAACACAAAATGGGGCACGAACTGCAATCGTCTTTGCTCGTCAATCAAAAACACACATTTCAAAGAGTTCTGGTTTCTCATTTTACAATATAATAACTTACTGAGGGCACCCTGGAAAAGGTATGCAAAAATCGAATCAAAATCGAAAAGTGGAAGCAAAGAATCGTGAATCGAACCGAACGATCATAATCGCGATTAATCGAGAATTCGATTAATTATAATCGTTACACCACTACCTATAAGCCTCTGCACCTGAACTTGAAAAGCTTCCCTTTGCCTGTGAAAGGCTCTCATATTTGTGTCATCGCGAAAATAAAACAAACCAAGCGGGACTGCACAACACTATCTTGGAGTCAACGCACTAAATAATTCAGTGAAATCAAGCTTATACCACAATTCAAACTATCTGCAACAATCCAAGATGTTTCCCTTGGCACCGCTTGTTAGCCCTCATCCACGCCCCCACCACTACTCGGTCAGGTTCCTAGGCTCCAGTTCTTTGGTGTTCCCGAGTAAGGTACTATCCATGTATGCTTACACGATATATGCTTTTAACTTTCAAGATAGCGACTGCATGGAATTATTGGTTAGCAAATCGAGTGAGCCCACCATGGTTTAAATCGTGTATCTTTCAGCAAATATGGCGTGAAGCATGCCTTTCCCATACACTAGGTAAGTTGTGGACTTTTTTCCAGCTAAATTGTCATGAGATAAGAGCTTCTAAAAACCATGTTCTCGCCATGATGCGCTAAAAGAAGATCTATTAGAATGATTCCTGGATCTGGAACCTGTAAGCTTAAGTGTTCGTCTTTCAAAACTTAAAAAAATACATGACCCTATGATAAATGCATGTGGTTATAGGGGAAAAGGACATTCCATTTTTTTTTTTATTCGCACGGTCCCTCCTAGGGATGACAGGAATCCGAACCCTCAAATTTTTGTCGGCGCCCTTTAAAAAATAAAATCCGAAGGGTACCTTTTTTTATCGGCACCTTTGACAAACTTGTCCGAAGGGTCCAAATTTTGTCGGCTCGTTTGAAGAAATAATCTGAGCCCCCCTATTCAAAAACCCGTCACCCTTAGAGGTGGTGCTGATAAAAATAGAACGTCCCAAAATTGAGGGCATCATCGTCATCATCAGTCGTCATTGTCATCATCATCTTCTTCATCATCATCATTATATTTCATTTGATAATTGAGCCAAAGGGCTGATGTGGTCCTGTCCTACATGTAGTGTACTCAGTGGTACACTGAAATGAAAGCTACATTGTTAGTGTGGCTATTATACACAAAGATAAAGTACAGTGAACAAGGTTTCTAAAAAGGGATGAGTTTACGTTTTGTACTCCACAAGATTTGAACAACTTTCCTCCACTATCTGCTCCATTGAAATGAGATGCTGTGTTCAGTTCCTGAAGCTCCCCTCCCAGAAGCATCCATGCGGTTAGTCGAAGGGTTTTTAAAGTAGCATCTATTTACAGACAGTTCGGCAGAGGATGGCAGAGAAGTAGACGACTGTGGATCACCATCAATGGCCGTGCTGAACAACTTCATCGTTGTATGCCGAAATTAAAGAAACCTTTAGTGGTGCTTTCATCTATAAGAAAACCCAAGAAAAGGTGAAATTAGACACTTTTAAGGTCTGGTTCGTAGGTGTCAATATTGGTGACAATCACAGCCATAAGATTAAATTTCGAAGCCAATGGGGTTACGCCAACAGGAAAAATTGTGATAGACTACGAGGTAAAAATTACTTCTATTACTAGAGATACTCACCTCAAGAACAGAGGTCAATCAAATGTGACATCATCTCCAAGAAGTTCAAAAGCAGCCCAGTGCCTGAAATGTTTGTAAATTGCAGACTCTCTTAACTTCTTAACAGACAGGTGAAGAGCCTCACTTGCACTCTTTTGTTCGCGCATTAAACTCCTGTAGAACACGTTCATGAAGACTTTGGTAGCTGCATCGTTAACAGGCCATAATGACATCAGAACGGAGCGAGCACCAGATCCAAGAAACGCCCGAGCTATTCCGACAACTCCCTCGGCTGTCATGATTTTACCATGACCACTATTGCAGCAGCTGAGTACTACCAGCTTGGCCCTTATACCGACGTTTGCTATGTCCTCCATTGTCAGCATAAAATCTTCCTTTTTTACAACTTCCGTGGCACGTACGTTTGGTGCAAGGGCAATTTCTCCTCTCTCTGCATCACCGTGGGCTGCAATATGCACCAACCCTACGTCCTGGATTCTTTTTAACACCTCACCCTTAGTGGCTTGCTCTCCAATGAGCTTAAAGTATGGTGGCCTAACATACCGGCATACCATATCTGCTTCAGTTCTGGCATTTGGTAGAGGTTTCAAAACTCCAACTCTTCCATCAAACTCTACAAGGCCAACCGTCGGATCTCCCACAATCAGTGCCCCAGTTTGAGAATGGTAATTTTCTGGGAAACTTTGAATGACCTGAAGCGATGTCAGAGAGGGAATGAGGCGAATTCGACAGGTTTGGGACAAGTGCTTTCCACTGGAATCTTGCAAGGCTGCAAATGGGACCAAGAACAATCCTCCTTCTGGGATTATGACAATCTCTGGACCTTGGATGAGACCAGCAACAGGCGCAATTATCATTTGGTATAATTTCTTTAGATTGGCCTCTCTTTCTTCTTCTTCGTTACCCCGGAAATGGTGCTGACTGGTTTCTTCACTTTGCTCCTCTGCTATTGACGATTCGTCTTCATAGATTTCTGACAGTGATCTGTCTTCGTATTCTTCTTTGTCGTCTTTTGGCAAGGATCTCAAAGTGCTCGTTACCAAATCTTGCAAAGACGTTCCTTCTTTCTCAATTGCTGACAGCTCTGTTCCAATCTTGAAGTTTATTTTGCCACCCTTTTCCATAAACCAGAGATAGATTTGCTTCTTTATGATGCCCATGAAAAGAAAATCACTTCGCTGTTTTTCTAAGAGGCTTGGTAACGAGCTCAAAGTAAATTCATTTGTTTTGTTGATCTCCTGGATTCCGAAATTAGAGAATATCAGGTCTACAAGTGCACGAGCTCGTCCTCGTTCGGCTGTGCAGAGTGCATCATCTACCTTTCCAAGAGAAATCAACATCAAGGTAAGTCCCTTGTAAAATGAAATGCTTTGATCATCTAATGAAAGCTTGTCTTCATCTTTAAGAGACTTTCTTACATTTTCGTGACCTTTAATGCTTCCAAAGAAATAGTCGGAAGCTTTTGAGAAACTTTTCTCGTGAAAATGGCTCATGGCTAAGCCGTATAAAACAAGGTGTTCTTTTCCCTTGAATCCAGTTTCTTTGAAGATTTCAAGTCCTCTTTCCAGGTAGTTGATGGCCTTCTCATGCTGGCCAAGAGCATATTGAACATTGCCAAGGTTGACATATGAAATTCCTTCTCCTTCTCTGTCGCCTACTTCTTTTCTGATTTTAAGAGCTTTCTCCTGAAAATGTATTGAGGAATTATATTGGCCAAGAGCATTGTACATGCTACCGAGATTGTTGTATGATACAGCCTCCCCTTTCCTGTCTTGTATTTCAATGCAGATTTCGAGCGCCTTGTTTTGATATTCAATTGCTTTTTCATATTGGCCAGAGGCACGGTATATGCCTGCCAGGTTCGTGAAGGATGCTCCTTTTCCCTTCTTGTCTTCGATCTCCTCATCAATTTTGAATGATTCCTCCTGATACTTTAGAGCTTTATCGTACTGGCCAAGAGCAAGATACACATTACCAAGGCCACTGTAGGAGTGAGCCTTAGCTTTCTTGCTGCCAATTACGTCGCCTATGTCAAGTGCTTTCTCGAAATATTCAATAGATGTCTTATAGTGGCCAAGAGTGATGTAATCGTATCCAAGAGCGCGACAGGATCTTCCCTCTCCCCGTTTGTCACCTGTTACTCTCCTGATTTCCATTTCTCTCTCGTGATATTTGATCGACATCTCAATTTGCACGCCAGATCCCCTCGGAATAGGATCTATTCCTCTGACTGCATCGATGATTCCACTAGAACATTTTCCAGGTTCAATAGATTTTTTGTAAAGATCGCAAACGTAGTACACACATTGAGCAGGTCGTTCGTCATATTTATCTTCCTGTTGTCTCTCTCCAGAATCGTTCTTGATCTTCTGCGCTTTCTCCAGGTAAATGGCAGCTTCCTCGCGTTTGCCAAGTGCATTCAACAAGGTGTATAGATTCTGGTAGGATGCTACTTCTTCTTGCTTGTCTCCAATTTCTTTGCTGACCTCCAGAATTTTTGTGTAACACAAGATAGACTTCTCCAGTTGGCCCTGAAGATGATAAGCACTGCCAAGACCTTTGTAAGATCTCAACTCTCCTCCTGTGTCACAAATCTCTTTACAGACCCCCAACGTTTTTTCATGATACGATAAGGACTTCTCATACTGACCAAGGGCGCAACAAGTAATGCCAAGGTTGCTGCATGATGCTGCTTCTCCATGTTTGTCTCCAATCGCCTTAAAGATGTTGAGAGCTTTCTCTTGATACTCAACCGATTTCACAAATTGTTGCTGAGCATGATAGATTGTGCCTAAATTACTGTAAGATGTTCCTTCTCTTTTCCTATCTCCAACTTCCTTACTGAATTCAAGCACTTTCTCTTGGTGTTGGATTGATTTTTCTAAATGGCGAAAAAAATAATTTGCAGTACCAAGAGCATCGTGAGATCGTAACTCCCCTTCTCTATTGCCGACTGCCGAGCAAATTTGAAGGGCTTCTTCTTGATTCTCAATAGCCTTCTCATACTCGCCGGCAGTACTATACAAAAGGCTCAGGCTGCTGTGACAAGATTCCTGCCCTGCTTTGTCCCCGAATTCTTTCTTGATGTTGAGAGCCCTTTCGAAGCAGTCAACGGAGTTCTGATGTTGACCAAAAATGTAATATAATATACCAAGGTTGTTATAAGAAGTTCCTTCTTGCACTTTATCGCCAACATCTTTATAGATCGCGAGTGCTTTCTTTTCGTACCCAAGCGACTTCTCATATTCCCCTTTAGCATTATACACAGTGCCAAGGTTGCTGTATGACGTTCCTTCTCCTTGTTTGTCTTTAATTTCCCTGCTGATTTCAAGCGCTTTCTCTTGACACTCAATTGACTTTTCATGATGGCCAAGTTGTAGATAAACCATACCGAGGTTATTGTAGGACGTTATTTCCCCTTCTTTGTAGCCAATTTCTTTCCTGATTTCAACACTTCTATGACAGGATTCAATAGACTTCTTGATCTGATTGAGTGCACAATATGCGGAGCCTAAATTGTTGTGGGAGGTTCCCTCTCCTTTCTTGTCACCAATGGCTTCCCGGATTTCAAGACTCTTCTTATGATTTTCAACAGCCTTCTCATACTGGCCAGTATCAAAATAGAGATTTCCGAGCTGGCTGTATGATCTTCCCTCAGCCCCTCTGCGACCAGTTGTTCTAAAGATTTCAATTGCCTTCTCTGCGCACTCAATCGACTTCTCAAACTGACCGACAGCTTGATACAAGATACCAAGAAGCTCGTACGATCTTCCTTCTGCTGGTTTATATCCCAGAGCTTTACAGATTTTCAGAGCATTCTCTCTGTATTTGATAGATTTATCGTACTGGCCAAGAGCCTTATACAGAAAACTGAGCTTGCTACATGATGATTCTTCTTTCTCCTTGTCACACAGTGTTTCGCCGATTTTGAGGGCTTCCTTGTGGCACTCAATCGCTTCTCTATGCTGGCCTAGAGCCTCATACACATTAGCGAGAGCACTGCGTGTTTTATGCTCGCCATGTTTGTCATCAAGGGTCTTCAGAATTTCAAGGCTGGATTTATAATAGCTGATAGATTTGTCAAACTGGTGTAGGGCGTGGCAAATACTTCCCAAGATGTGATAGGAGGTACTCTCTGCTTTTCTGTCTCCAACTTCTCTGCAGATTTTGATGGTTTTCTCGTGAAATTCTAGTGCCTGCTCTTTGTGTCCCAAAGCATTACACACATCACCGAGACTGCTGTACAATTGTATTTGTTGTTGCTTGTCACCCGTGGATTCGCTGACTTGAATAGCTTTCTTAAATTGCCCGATACATTTTTCATATTGACCAAGTGCATGGTAAATACTTGCAAGATTGACGCACGAGATAACTACTCCACGTATGTCGTCAATGGCTTCTTTTAATGCAAGTGCTTTTTCTTCACACTCAATCGCCTTTTCATATTGCTCACGAGCGTACCATACAAGACACAGGTGACTGTAGGATGCCATCTCTCCCAGCTTATTGCCAATTTTTGCACTGATTTCGAGACTTTTCTTGAAATAATCAATTGCTTTGTCATACTGCTGTAACTTGCTGTATACACTACCGAGGTTGTTGTAAGATGTCCCTTCCCCTCGTTTGTCGCCAGTTTCTTTCCTGATAACCAGCGCTTTCTCGTGATTCTCGATTGATTTCTCGTAGTGGCCAAGCTCGCAGTAGACGCTGCCAAAGTTGTTGTAGGATGCTGCTTGTCCGTGTTTGTTACCGATCGCTTTTCTTATCTCAAGTCCTTTCTCGTAGCAAGCCAATGCCTCTTGGTACTGTTGGAGATCACTGTACACGCTACCTAGTTTGTTGTACGAGTCTCCCAGCCCTTGCTTGTCCCCAATCGTTTCATAGATTTTAAGGGCTTTCGTCTGATATTCAATGGACTTCTCAAACTGGCCAAGGGAATTATACACACTTCCAATGCTGCTGTAAGACGCCCCTTCAGCCCGTTTATCCCCGATTTCTTGACTGATTTCAAGAGATTTCTGTAAAAAGTCGAGTGACTCTTGATGATTAGCAAGAGCATCATGTACGTCACCGAGGTTTAGGTAAGCTGTTCCTTGTCCTTGTCTGTCTCCTATTTCTTTGTGGACCTCAATTGCTTTCTGGTAATAGTGTAACGATTTCTCGTATTGGCTAAGATCATAAAACAATGTACCGAGATTATTGTACATTGTTCCTTCTCCCTGTCTGTCTCCAAGCGATTGGGCGATGTCGAGACTTTTTTCATAATACTCCAGACACCTTTCGGATTGACCAAGAGCATGATATGCTGTAGCAATGTTGCTGTAACATTTGCTTTTCGCGCGTGTGTTTCCTACCTCTGTACAAATTTCAAGACCCTTCGTACAGTTATCGATCGCTTTCTCATATTCACTAAGGGCAAGAAACAGTGTGGCAAGACTGTTGTAGGCCATTCCTTCTCCTGGCTTATTGCGGGACTCCTTGCTTATTTCAAGACCTTTCTCCAAGTACCTGATCGATATATCATATTCGCCAAGAGCACGGTACACGTCGCCGAGGCTGTTGTAGGCATCTCCTTCCACTTTCTTGTCTCCGGTTTCTTCGCTTATCTTAAGAGCTTTCTTTTGGCAATCGATGGATTTCTCATACTGACTGAGAGCATGATAAACATCGCCAAGAAGATTGTAAGATCGCCCCTGGCCGCGTTTGTCTTCTAGTATTTGTCTTACTTCCAGCTCTTTCTCGAAGTTAAATATCGCCTTGTCATAGTGACCAGTACAGTAATACACTTGACCAAATGCGTTGTATGAATTTCCTTCCTTCCTTTTGTTGCCAATTTCTACACTGATTATAAGTGCATTTTCATTATGCTCAATCGACTTATCGGGCAGACCAAGACTAAAGAATGCGGCACCAAGATTTCTGTGCGCTTTCCCTTCTTCTCCCCTGTCTCCAACTTCCTTGCTTAACGATAGCGCTTTCTCGAAATACTCGACGGATTTCTTATGCTTGTGAAGAGAACCATAGGCACTTCCAAGCTTGCGGCATGTACTCAATTCTCCAGCTTTGTTTCCGGTTTCGCTGCAAATCGAAAGAGATTTTTCAAAATACTCGATGGATTTTTCATGTTGACCGAGATCGTGGTAGGCGCTCCCGAGGTCGATATAAGAATTCCCTTCTGCTTCTTTGTTTCCGGCTTCCTTGGAGAGTTTTAAGGCCTCAAGTATTTTCTCCACTTTCTCCATGGTAAGACGTTCCTGTTTAATGAGAATGAAAATCAAGGAACTATTTTCATTTATTCTGCCAGGAACTTGGAACAACATCTAGTATTTGTTAGTGAAAAGGAGGATGTCTCACCTATGGTAAATGGAAACGATCGTGAAGCCAAATGTATGACAATCAAGAAATAATTTTCAGGTAATAGTCTCAAGAAATAATTTGAAGACAGGCATAAGATGAGATGTAACTTATAATATAGAGTGACGAACGAAAACAAGAAACCCGATTTTTAAAAAGATCATGATGTTTTCACGTGACTCACATCTTCGTTAGTCACAAAGGGCATTTGAAAAACCATTTGAAAATAAGAAACAAATAACAGTATTTCGTCACGCAATTAAATTAACCCCTAGTACCTAGTGTAGATCTACCGGATGAAGCAACATTCTTTTATTGCGAGGCTTATAAATGCAAAATGGTTTTAATTACCAATAGGAACACGGAATCTTGTATTTCTGCAAACGCAGCAAAATTTTCTGCACAACTGGTTTAGTGTATCAGTTTCCCCATTACTGCTTAATTAACAGTGAGTTCCGAGCAAGTGAATATGTATAGGTAATAGCATGATTTGTAGTGATATTTGGCATAAATACCACGAGTGATATTTCGAAATTGTTATACGTAATTTCACGAGCCGTTAGGCAAGTGAAATTTGGGACAATGTTGAAATATCACGAGTGGTTTTTATGCCAAATATCAAGGGCTGTCAAAAAGTTTTTAAGTAGCAGGCTCAAAATGAATAGTAGGTTGCTTTGGAACTCGGACCAAAGGCACAAGTTCTTGAGGGCCGAGACATCTAGGGGCATTTTGAAAATTATAATCTCGGAAATGGCGTTCCCAGAGGTTTTCAAGAGGTATTTTCCACCGTAGACGCCATGTTGTTTCGTAAGAATACACGCTAGACTGGGAACAATGCCGTAGAAATGTCCCAGGCGTTCCAAGACATTGCACAGTTCGAACGTGTTACAGATCTAAACCTGCTAGAATATGCGTTCAATGCCATTCAAAACTGGGAAACGGATGCTTTACAATCATTTTTATTTGATGACGCTTATTTTTGGTTAGCAGTTATGGTAGATAAGGAGATGAAAGTAGCTGGCCAAGGATGGCTAACTAGCCGGCGATTTTGGCCAGCTACCGGCCCTTATTGACAACCCTGCAAATATCACGCACAAATCATGCTATTATTTGTTTATACTACTACCCGCAAAAGGTTTGTAATTTTCACATGTAGGAATTTCAAATTAAGCTGAAATACCACTGCTCTAAGTCAATCACATCGCAGAAATTTTTCATGTAGTAGTATAAATGACTGAAACATCATAAGTTTGAACTGCGGAAGAAAAATATACTTACTACATCAAAGATCAGGGTAACCTGAGATCAGGCCGGTTCTCATACATTCTCTCTAACGGCTACCGCTAAAATTGGGCCTGATCCAAACTCATTCACGCTTGTGCTCGTTACGGCCAGATTTTGGCCGTAACGCTGATTGACTGTCAGAAACGCCGGAAGTTGAAAGCGCTTATTCCTCGCGTGGTTGTTTTCGTGAATGATCCGTCGTCGGTGGAGAAAAGGATCGACTTTGCTGTCTTTTTTATTGTTTTATGGTCGTATGGTAGGAAAATATGCCTTAATACGTGCCATGGAAATTCAGAAAATTCATATGGTTGTTCATATCTTCTCAGTATTTGCTTTATTTACGGAAAGTGAGTGTATCGCGGAGTTGAATCCCTCTGCAAGTTGTTGACCGCTAACAAGGTGCCTTTTCATTTACCAACAAACGAGTGCAAATCAAAATACTGTCCATCTTAAAACTGGTTTCATTTAAAAGTTTAGCCGCGAATGACTTCTCGGAACAGGGTACGCAAGCGGAGGCTCACCGTGAAAGAAACCTCAATCGCCAACTGTGAAGTATTAGACGAAAAATATTGCATCGCTGTTCAAGGCATTTTCAGTGTAGGCATTATTATAAAGCTGGTGGCTTAAGGTAACAGACGGGTGTCTAGAAAACGACGACCTAGAAGACGACGACCTAGAAAACGAAGACCTAGAAAACGATGACCTAGAAAACGATGACCTAGAAAAACGACGACAGGGATGGGGTAGCTCGAAGAAATAAGGGGTTAGAGGGGTACAGAAGGCGGGAAATAAGAGGACGATAGGAGGGAATTATGAAGGGGTGAGAGGTGGGCGAAGAAGGAAAATTACAGAAAAAAAATAAATATTATTTGTCAAAAGACGGGTAAGGGTATGAAGCCAAGGAATAAAACGGTGGAAATGGAAATGCAAGGTGCGCGAGGTCTCCCCTCTGTTTCGTTTATCAAACAAGCGTTGCCCGTTATTGAATAGATTTATTTGATGACAAGAATTGTATTAACTTATTGTGTTTCAAACCAGTTTTTCAGTAGAATCGAAGTGAGAAAGAAAATAATTTACAGTATGCCTATAAATCCGCTTACCTGAAGAATCTGTTAAAAGAATTTGCTAACCTGTAAAGTGCGATTGTTGTAACGACCCGCCACAGAAGTAAGTTTGCTTTAGCTACGAGATTAAGATGATTTGTTCTGATTGCGAATTATAAATGTATTTCTTTTAGATCGAATAATTATTAAAGTTCGGTGGTCATTTGAGCTAATCAGTTCCTAAGGAAACACCCTCCCCCTCTAGAACTGGCTGGGGTGGTGGCTAATAAAGTGTTTACCAAGAGAGGATAACCTGTCTTGGTGTTTACTGATTAAAAGTATATCGGGTTAGTTTCATGAGCAATCCCGGAGTGTGTTAATAAAAAGAGATTTGGGGAACGAAGTATTTCTAAAAGTCAACATTTGGGAAATTTTCACGTTTAGGCGGAGATGCTCGATTGATTTACTGATTAACGTTAACCTTCGTTACATGTACCCCGCGAGATACCTACATCTATTGTCTTGCGTTATTTTGATAGCGCGGTTTATAAAACCGTCTCTCGCATTTTTAAACAGCAGTTAAGGGTGCCTAGTGTGGTCGCAGGAGCTATTGTTTTGTCTTGGACATTGCATTGTGCATTGCGTGAAAGTGATGGAAGAATTAAAGATGAACCGAAGTGAAATTTTTAATTCTGCTCTGCGGCGTTGTCTCTATTTCACATGATGTAATAATTTATTTCTGAGCAAGAATCGTCGACAGGCGATTTTTAACTGGGCTGCAAAGGGGCTATTTTTTCTGAGGGAACGGGGCGGCTATCACTGACACTCAGGCGACCATAAAACCTTGTCGCCGACTACTGGGTGAGACAGAATCTCAAGTGAGACTGAAACTCATTCAGAACATTGCACCCTTTTGAAAGACTTTTGTAACAACAAAAAAAAAGAATACCATTTTTAAGTGGGGGCTGTATAATAACTTTTAAATTCCACCATTATGAATAAAAATAAACAAGTCAGCCATTAATTCAAAGCAGGAAACGATTTGCATTATTTTCACGCACCCCTCCCCCAATCCCTCTGTGCCCCAAAATATAGCGTGACAGTACAACGTGACTAATTTGACGTAACCGGAAATTCCAAAAATTATTGTCGTTCTACGAGTGTAAAAGGCGAAAGACTGAGCTGATTTACACTAGACAGAAATATTGTATTGTATGAAAACCAGAAGTATACTAAAACAGACAGCCAACTGTCCATTGATCCCGCCTAATCCAGGAGCCTCACAGACTGCATTGAGACTTTACTGAGCTTTTCACAAACATGCGAACTCTAAAGTTCAAAAGCCACTTTCACAATTGCGTTTTTCGCTGCCGTCAATCATAATTACGATCACAAGCAACGAACCTTGAAACAGAGAAACACACAAAACGGATCGAAATCCACCACTCACAAATCACAAATCACAAACCGTGACCTTTTGAACCCGTGAAGTAAAGTTGAGTTTCCTGAGAACCGTTAAGATGATTGACAGCAGCGAAAAACGCAATCGTCGATTGGCTTTTGAACTTTAGAATTCGCATGTTTGTGAAACGTGCAGTAAAAAGTCATAGACGATCCTAATTTGCGGTCCACACTACATGAAAACGAACCTTTTTTTTCCACAAGATAAAAAGTATTCAGTTTTAAGACTTTCCTCTTGGTATTTTTCTCTAACTGAAAGGAATAAAATCCTTTGTATTTTGTGACCTTAAAAAGTTTAATGATTTCTCGCTCGCATGTTGCTTTTATCAGCACGCACTTCAAACAATGTAAATTGATGAAACGATCGATAAGATATTTTTTACCTGATACCGATATGAGTTAAAAATTCACTCCAGTTCACTGTTTGCGTCTTACCCATGACTAACTTTTCTTCATGAAAGATAACTATGCCGCTTTATATCTCCTCCGAAGTTTTTGTGCCAGCTAAACAATATGGAAACACTATTCACAGTCCTTGGATATTAAAAAGACTGAACGTGACGCACTATTGTCCTTTGTTTACTTCTGATCACATCTTCAAGCGAAGTCTCTCTTTTCAAGAAATTCATCTGAATGCACAATAATTGACCCTTATATTAATTAAAACCCTATGGTTCATTCATATTAATGCTGTTTTTGCCCCTCACATTGACTGTGTTCGTTGGTATTCAAAACACCATTAGGAAAATAAAGGTCGTATAAGTCGTGTATTATGTTTCGAGATAAATGGATTACACGCTTTTTTAAGTTTCCATTTTGCGGTGACTTCAGATTACATCTCCATAAAATGGTAGAAGAAATATCAAAAAACATCACGATAGCTGAAAATTTTCGAAGGCATGTTTTCTGAAACTCGCTAATCGGCTAGCTGACATCCATATAGCGTGCTTGCTGAATGGGTGAAAACACTGAACTGCCGGTGATAAGAAGATCATGTACAAATTTAAAGATAAAAGCTAAGCAAGATACAGATACAAACAAAAGCAAACCCCTTGAAACCTCGACCTGGGCTACACTTGTATGCTCTACTCAGTCACCAAACCTCGTCGGTAATATCCCCCATTTTCCTCAAGTTGGTCTTTGTGAAGCTCCCGTTGGGATGTCCCGGTGAAGCTTTGAACTTGTGTACGAAATTCTCAAAGTTCCTATTTTTGTCCGTGTCTTCTTTATCCCCAGTATACGAAATATAGACCTCCAAAGTGGCGTGTGTTACATAAAAATAGAAGGAAATAGTAAAAGGAAAAGCCAGTCTTTTAATATGGCAAAGTTGTCACGTCCCTCGCTCATGGACGTTCATTTCTTAACATCAGGATTCATCTGACATTCGTCGGCAACTGAGTTGTTCGCTTCAGTGAGTACGACAGCTTACAGTCAAGTCTTTAACCACAGTGTCGTCAACTGGTGAAATACTTCGCTCATAAATTGTGCTTATTAATTGTTCATGTACTACATCGATCGATAATTCTCTCTTTGAGTTCACGAAACTGCCCCGGCGTTCCAAAACTGACGCTCACAGTCATCTTTTGGTGTGAAACTACCGTGAACGGCGTGTGGGTTTGTATGCAGCGTGAGCATTTCTCTGAGTTTCCCAGCACCAACATCATCAACTGACTTAAACTCGAACAATGACAAAACTTATAAAGTGCCTCCTATGATCGAATCGCTTCGAACAACGCAAATAGCCTTCTTCAGGTTCGCAACGCCTTCTGGGTTTTCCAGGGGGAGCGGAGACGAGGTACAAAAAGTATTCGTGCAAGAGTCCGTGCAAGAGAAAATCATATGAAACCAATTGTGAGAACATCGTTTCTCGGTACCAGACCCTCGTGTCTTCCCTCCCCCGGGAGGCCGTTTTTCTGCACAGACGACCGAAAACCGAATTTATGACTGGGCTTGCCGGGCAGCCCAGTAACAATTCAAAAGTTCTACTGGAGATCTCACTACATATATACCACGCTATTGGACCTGTGAGGAAACAGAAACTCCTAGGATGATACGATTCAAATCTTACAGTTCAAATACAGTTCAAGTCTTATGACATGTCAACCTTCACTGTGTACTACATAATATTTCACAATTCTCGTTACCGGTATACTGCCGTTTCATGTATGGAAAGGTACCAGAAACCTTTTGAGGTGGACCAAGGGCGCGATCCATTCAACTAAAATTCCAACCGGTCCGACCGGGAAAAGTGGTCCACCTCAACAGGTGGACCCGCTTTTTCGAAACTTTTTCGGTTGGACCGAACCGATCCATAGAGTTTTGGACCGAAATTTCCGGAAATTTTGGTTGAATGGATCGCGCCCCAATTTTCCCGGTCGGACCGGTTGGAATTTTGGTTGAATGGATCGCGCCCCAATTTTCCCGGTCGGACCGGTTGGAATTTTGGTTGAATGGATCGCGCCCAGGTTCTCTTTTCGTTTCGCCATGCCCGCCGGAATGTAATTTTCAAAGCAAAACGAATATAGAGCCTGATCTCAGGTTAAGGTCAGGGCAGTTGGGAACGCAACTTAAGCAGTTTCAAAAATAAAGCCTGAAAAACATTCAGGATATATAAACTATCGTATCCGTCACAGATTACGAAGTCTGACATCGCATCACTGTATTAAAATAATAGGGCCATTTATATGAGGAAAAATAAGACGCGTCTTAAATAAGACGCGAACTGTACCATTTATACGAGCATGTCTTATCTAATAAGTCGCGTCTTAGCTTAGCCGTGTCTTATTTTAGACGAAATGTGCCGTTTATACGGAAAGTTCGCGTCTTAATTAAGACGCCTCTTATGTAAGACGCGTCTTATTTTTCCTCGTATAAATGGCCCTAATGTCTAAATGCTAAACTCAGCTAGCTGTAAATTTCAAATGCTACGTTGTCGAAGATGTCATGAATTCACTTAGCATTCATCCCGGTCAGGGCTACATTAATCTCTTTAAGCCTAATCGCACACAGAATATTCAAAACAGCACCATAGGGAAAAAAACGGCGGTAAATTTTAACATCTAAGAATTTATGCCACAAATACTTTTCAAGTAAAAGAAATACCACACATACCTACTGTACAATCCCACTTCCTTCCCTGATTCAGGTTTTCAATGGCACCAGTCTCGCCAAAGACTTCAGAGTAACTCAACTGCAAGAAAGCAACTGCAATGATGAATGAAATAACTAAAACACACTTTTGAGTTATAAAAGATCACCGTTCAAACCCTAGGATTAGATTCTAATACATACCATTTTTAAAAAGCTGAGATCCAGAATCCTTATTGTAGAGTTGGTTGACGACATTATTTCCATAATCAAACCCAATATAGACCTTAGCTTGTCACGGTTTTCGACGCCATTTTGACGAGTAGGCAAACGCGTGAGAAATTCAGCGACAGTGTTTTTATGAGAATCTAATTTCGAATAATTTCCGTAGAACAGCTGTTCTGAAAAACATATGATTTGTAAACCAAAGCTTCACCCCTAAGGATTCTACTGAAAAAATTTGAGGGCGTTACATGCACTAGAAGACCTAGAACCACTTTTTAAATTTCCTATACATTTGTCCGTAAGAAAGTCCCGGGAAAATTACAGACAAATATATGGAAAATCTAAAGCAAGCCTTTGGAGAAATTTAAGCACAGGTACGCCTCCAAAATTCTTTCGGACAATCCTTTGCTTTGAAGCTTTAGTTTACAACTGATATTTTTTTCAGAACAGCCGTTCTCCGGAAATTATTCGACATTAGATTCCCATTAAAACACCGTAATTTCTCACGCATTTGCCTACTCGGCAAGATGGTGTCGAAAACCGTGACAAGGTCTATTTGTTTGGCCAAATAGAAAACAATTTCACTATGTGAAGTCGAAATCTATCGATCGATGGATTTGCAGAGAATTAATGTAAACCATATAAATGAGAAAATAGAACAAATTGATCTCTTGAAGGTCTCCTGGCGAAATCTTACGCCACGGAAGTTCAGTCACTTTATGTCATCCCACATATGTATGAACAGGGAAGCCGTACAAGTGATCCATAGCAGTTGTTTATGTCAGGCTTGCTCTGGGCTATTAAAGTTACTTACATGCATTGATTATCAAAATGCTATCAAACAAATATCTCCTCTAACCTTAGCTTAACATGCTTAACTTAATTTTCAAATATCTCCTCTAATCCTAGCTTTAATTATGTTTCAGAGGCCAAAGTTGTATGAAACCATAAGGGCTTTGTACTTTGGTTTAACTAGAAAACCAACACTCGCCGTTTGATGATACTTTCAAGGACATCTGTAGACTGAATTGTTTAGATCTGCGAGTGAAACAGACCGTGATAGTTTGGTTAAGCGTTGCATCTTATCACTCACCTGTATGTTAGCCGTAAGCAGGTTTTTTTAGAGATAAAGAGTTCGGTATTGCATAATACGAGGGAGGCAATGAAAGCGAAAGTGGATAGTGAAAACGGAAACAGAAGTGAAGTCTTTTCGTCGTGCCCAAACTCCACCCGGGCGATTGCCTGCCCGAGAAGACTCTCGGGACCTTGGTTCTAGCCGCCCGCCCCACAAGAAAAAATGGGAGAGGAGAGGAAACCAGGGAGGGCGGCTGTAACACAGACAAGAAATAGTTTAACTTAGATAAGGGTAAAATTTGCTTCATGTTGTTTTTTCGTTCCCAGGTCCCAATATTTTGACCGTACGTCGGAAGGAAACATGAAAATGCCAAGCAAAAATAAAAACGCCGTTGTAAGTTACGTGCTAAGAAAACACGGACGGATTTAGCCGGAAATGTTGTTAGTTATCAGTCTCTCAAGAAATGTTAAAATTCGTCCCTTTATTAGAAGAAAAAGGCCAAGGAAATAGCACTCGAAACTTCAATGAACGTAAGAGGCCTAAAAGACATGGTAGTTTTATCAATCCCTTTCCATTCCTGACATTCCTAGCATTCGTTGCAATTGACTAGGATTCCATCCAGGGACAAGAAGAAATACTCCTAGTCACTTCATGGTACTAATACCGGAGCGCCGTTCTGACAAGCATTTAAGCTGGAATGCAGACTTAACCTACATCATGATGATGTGACCAGTGGCATCTATAGTTTTACATTAACTGCAGAAATCCTCGCGCGATTATTGGCTAATTTTTACTGTCAATAAGCGGACAGACACATGAATTTATAATTTATGCGATAATTTATTGTCCACTCGGCTGCCGCCTCGATCCACTCAGCGAGTGGATCCACTTGGCTATCGCCTCGTGGATCCACAGCTACTTTGATAATGTTATGACGAAATTCATGATCGATAACAGGACAAACCCATAAAAAACCGACGTCAATTTTGTTAAATGGCGTATATCCTTTTTGTTGAAATACACAACGCTATTCTCCGAGATATTTCTATGCTTATCTATAGCAATTCTTTTCAAATTCCCAAACATCTAAAATAATTGAGTTTACGTTCTTTTTGTACTCCACAAGATTTGAACAACACTGTCTGCTCCAGGCTCTTGGAAATTTGGGACGTCGCGAAAATAAAACAAACCAAGCGGGACTGCACAACACTATCTTGGATTCTGGAACAGGCTATTGTCGCGAGTTAACGCACTAAATAATTCAGTGAAATCAAACTTATCCCACAATTCAAACTATCTGTAACAATCCAAGATGAGGGTCTCAATGGGGTGGTGGCATTTACGGTTATCGGCTAAAATTTTGGCTCTTTTACGGCTATCGGCTAATTTTTTTCAGTTACGGTTAACAAAAAAGTTAAAAATTAACTTCTTTTGTTTCAAAAAGTTAAATATTAATTAACCTGTACTGTTTGTATCTTTAAAGCAAAATAAAGGTCTTAGGATCATCTCGGGATATGAAATAAGCTATTCTTTTGAAAAATTTTAACATTTGATAGATCATACTTTTTATAAAGTATTCCACTTCTAATATTATTTTACACATAAAAATGTCAATAGCCAATTTAAAAATAATCTTTGTGAAAAAGAAAAGCACACACCCGAACGCCAAACTCAAGGCCGGGGCGCGACATTCATTACAACAGAAATGGCCTTTTTTCACACTAAAGACGGATTATTCGTGTGAGACGGGTTATCCGTTTGATGATTCGCGTCAGATAGATAATACGTCTTAATTTGAAAATGGAATAGTTTTGATTTTGCATGAACAATCCGCCTGACTTTATCCTTCAACTTCGACGGACAGTTTGAAGACGGGATTATCCGTTCCAGACTGCCCGTGTACAGCCGCCCCTTCCGCTCAGAAAAAAAATCAGGGAGAGGGTGTCTGTCGGGAAGGGGGCGACTGTACACAGGATAGTCTCAGCGGATAATCCGTTTCTAGCTCTAGTGTGAAAACGGCCAATAACAAAATTCCCGTGTCCAGTGTTTTTAATGGTAGCGAAGGACTGTACGGAACCACTGTCAGTCGTTTTGCCTTGTCCTTAGGCCTTATTATTTCGCGCGGCTAATGCGTTTCGGGTGACGTGGTCCGAGCGAGTTCGCCACCGAAATGCCTTGACCGAAATTGCGTGGGAAGACGCCTTACAGGGACTAGGCATGGCAATGTCTACCGAAGCGTCAGAGAAAACAGGGAAATGTTGTTTATCGGCAACTTTTTTGAGATCTCTTCGTGTTGTTTCACTAGTGTTTCGAGGGCACGACCTCCTGAAAATCGCAAATATTAATCCCCAGCAAGAAGCCACACTTTCGCTATGGAAAAAAAATTAGTTCCCCGAGATCGGCGGAAATGGAAATGGGTCTTGGTCTTCACCTAAAAGGCGCTTTACCTAACTTGTGTACGGAGCCACACTAGCCGCGAAATAAAAAACGCAACCATAAGTGAGTTTAGTACCTTCCTTAAAAGTAGCAAATCTAGGGAACAATTTCTTTTACGGTTAACTTTTTTTTACCCTATTTACGGCTAACGGTTAAAATTTTTCAATTGTTACGGCTATCGACTAAATTTTTGGCAGTTTTACGCCTATCGGTTAACCCCATTGAGACCCTCCAAGATGTTTCCCTTGGCACTTATCCACGCCCCCACCACCCCCATTGCTACTTCTGAACATTGCTACTCGGTCAGGTTCAGCTAGGCTCCAGTTCCCTGGTGTTCGTGAGTAAGGTACTATTCATGTATGCTTACACGATATATGCTTTTAGCTTTCAAGATGGCGACTGTGTGGAATTATTGGTTAGCAAATCGAGTGAGCCCACCATGGTTTAAATCGTGTATCTTTCAGCAAATATGGCGTGAAGCATGCCTTTCACATACACTAGGTAAGTTGTGGACTTTTTTCCAGCTAAATTGCCACGAGATAAGAGCTTCTAAAAACCATGTTCTCGCCATGATGCAGCTAAAAGAAGATCTATTAGAATGATTCCTGGATCTGGAACCTGTAAGCTTAATAAAACGAAAAGTGAACAGAGTGAGTGGAAAATACATGACCCTATGATTTGTTGTGGGGAAAGGGACATTCCATTTTTTATCCGCACCCCCTAGGGATTATTGGAATCCAAACCCACAAATTTTTGTCGGCACCCTTTAAAAAATGAAATCTGAAGGGTTCCTTTTTTTCTCAGCACCTTTGACAAATTTGTCTGAAGGGTCCAAATTTTTTCGGCTTCTTTGAAGAAAAATAATCTGAACCCCCTATTTAAAAACCCGTCATCCTTAGAGGTGTTGCTGATAAAATTAATATGGAACGTCCCAAAATTGAGGGTATCATCATGATCATCAGTCATCGTCTTCATCATCATCATCAATATATTTCATGTGATAATTGAACCAAAAGGCTGACATGGTTCTGTCCTACATGCAGAGTACCAGTACACTGAAAGGACAAAAACGAGATCAGACAATAGATGATACAGATATGGTATCTAAAAAACAGGTGCTATATTGGAAAATTCCCTTTTGTACTGATAATCTAGAAAAAACCAGAACTGTTACAAAAAACATACTCCAGATCTATTTTTCTCTTATTTTCATTACTACATTCTATAGGGAGGGTAGATACAGTAATTCATGTGTTTTTAAATTATGAAGGTATACACGTAGATAGAGCTGTAGGTTGTGTACTGCTATGCTTCACTATTTTATGCCTTTTTTTGTCATTGACAGGGTTGGAAACTGCATCATACCATCAGCAGCATATCACATATCTTGCAAGATTACTGTTAAACAGCTTGTTAAGTCACAAATACGATGATGCATTGCAGTGTCTTGTGGGATTGTGCGGTGCATGTAGAAGAACACCTGAGCTGTTTTGGAGGGTAATATGACCAGAAATTCCAGATTACCAGTACACCATTATTAAACTGTTAGTTTGCATAAAAAATGAAACCTAAGTACATTTTCATCTTACCCACCATTTGAAGCTATTAAGTTAAAATGCATGTTTTTAATCCTAGATGTGTCCCATTTTATTGTAAATTCATAACTGTAACTTACACATGTACTTTTGCCACCTTGTTGGCTTCCATAAACATTTTATCAAGATGGTTGAAAAATTAAGAGACTGGTGATTCCAAGTTAATTTTATAATGTTTAAAATTCTGAACATCGTACATGTACATGTACTCATCATACAGTTATTTTTCTAAAACCACCAGTTAAAAAAAGAAACACTTTGAGTGTCAATGTATTTAGCACAACAGTCCTAATAGGCCAATTCTGAGTTCCAAAAACTTTCACTTTCAAAGCAAGTCAAAGTACAAAATCTTTCTTTTGAAAATGATTTTTATTTGCATGAGAATAAAAAGGCATGTTCATATCAATGGCTTTGCACTTAGTCTCGCCTTGAAACAGAGGCTATGGGCGACTCAGAAATAGTGTGTTGAGGACACGAGTCTTATGTCTCCTCCTGGAAAAAGAAACACCATTTTACGTGGTCATCTCAGCCACACAAAGTCTAGCTGTTTGCAGGGCAAAGGCAGAACCTTCATTTCCCAGTTGCTTTAAGACCCTGAGTATTGGTCCGACCCCAGGGTTTGAACCCACAACCTCCTGCTCGGCAGTCAAGCACTCTACCAGGGCTGTCACTAAAGGTAATGTTACACCAGACGACTCGCAACAACGATTTTTAGCACAACACAGCGTTGCAACAGTGTTACGAGATTGTTTGAAAAAGGTACAGCATTTTCCAACATTGCAACAATGTGTTGCGCTGAAAATCATTGTTGCGAATCGTACCGTGTAAACTACTATGAAATGCGCCCCAGCTACTCTTATAGGGAACAAAAGGAAAATAGAACTAAAAGAATTTTCAAGCCGTACAATTCCCTTCCTATTAATGGCCTGTACCCGGCCCAAATTTTAGCGACAGCCCTGCGCTACTAACTCTGTTAGTCCTCCACCCCAGTTAGTCACTATAGTCCTGGCAGACAAAGTTGTCTGTAAGTCATTGTCAATAGAACCTGTATTAAGTGTCGCCCTGTAACTGCCTCTTTTGCAAGTAAAGCCAGTTAATGAAGGTTTTAGTGTATTATGACACGCCCTTCTTTCTTTAGACTGGATGTGAGGTATTGATGCATAACCAACCAGGAAGCTACGCCCACATGAATCAGTTCATCAAGAATACGTTTGTGATTTGTGTTCCATTTCAAAAGGAACTCTTGTTGGACTTTGCTATGTATTTGGTGAAGCAAAATGCAGACATTACAGAAGCACAGGAGCTGTTGACTTCAAAGCTTTCACATAAATCATTCTCGTCATGTCCTCTTCTTAGAGCGTACTCAGGACTCTTTGCTTATCTCTCATGGAAAAAAAGCAGAATCCAGTTGGAGAAGAGGGATGTAGAGGGGGAAGATATTGAAGAAATGAGTCACATTTCTGACAGTGCATCTTTAACAAACCTTAAGCGACAGATGGATTTTCATGGAAAACAGGCATTACTTTTGTTTGCTGGTCTAGTGGAACACAGTGGAGTGTGGGATATTTTTGTAACAAGACAAATTGAGATGTTGAAATATTATAACAAAGATGATGAAGCTAGGAAGGTCTTACTCAGATACAAGGAGAAAAATCCAGAAAATCCTAATGCTCACAGGTACATGTGATCTCACAGGAGCACTGTTAATGTCTAGAAAAAATAGTTTTTGTTGCTCATCCTAGTGGATATATACAGTTAAATATATGAATGAACTCCCAATGTACAAGTTCATATTTTATGGGTATAACTATAGTCACGTGGGATGGTATTTCACTTGAGGTGTACTGTACATGTATATATCAACTACTTGTACTTTTAGTCAGTCTTCATTAAGCCATTAAATTGGACTGGTGAATTTTGATCTTCATTGTTTCAGTGATTTGATCATCCTTCAAGTCACCATTCCTAAGTATGCCCTTGTGTATATGTTGTGTTTCAATTTTATCCTTGGTTTAAAATTTTATTTCTCTTGGTTCTCGGTTATGGTATTGTATGATTTATAATTAGTTTAAATAAGGGAAAGAAAATTTAAACTTAGGATGAAATTGAACCACAACACACATGTATACAAAGGCCAGGTCTTGGCCCCCACCCCAGCTGGTTATTGTTGGACTTACAGTGTAGTTCCTCGTTATGCAGTGCCTGCATAATCTGACATACATGTATGTCCTTGTGGTCCCCTTTGATCATTTGCTGTTAGTACTTTCACTTTTTCACGTTTGATTTAATTATGTTAAAAGACCTTACAATGCTGAAGTGAGGCACATCATACATGTAATAAGTTATTGCAAAGATACCCCTAATGGTCTACCAGTTTACCCTATTTAACAGTCTTTGCAGGTACTACATCTTATATAGTATTTGCATCCCTGACCTTTGAAAACATTGTTAAAGCTATAGAATGTGGAAGTATATGAATAAAGTCAATAAACTGTTAGTGGCATTTCAGCCCATAGTATGGCTTTCTCACACACCACTGGTAGCCATGCCAAGCCTTTATTCCAAAGTTTTCATGAAAATGTATACATAACATACCCCTAAGAAAAGTGGGGCACCAACAAAATTACAACGATACACATTACATTTAAACAGCCTACAAAGCTGAAATCTTAGGGTGGGTGGGTGGGAAGGTCAGTAATGGCAGACACAACAAAAGCAACTGCCTGCCTTTTGGTCACATGACCACTACACAGGCCCCCAGTGGTGTGTGAGAAAAGCATTAATTTTACTTATTTTGTTACACTCAATTTCCTTCTTAGCAACAAGATCACACTTTTCTGACCATGATAAATTACATTATTATTTTAAGGTATTTGTATTACTTCCTCAAAGAGGAAAAAACAGACAGACTAGAACTTTGTAATGTGCTGGAGGGCTTACTTCATATTGATCCAACAAGTGAACTGAGTGAGGAGTACATCAAGCTTAAGATGCATGAGACTGGTGAGTAAAAACTGTAAGAAGATGAGACTTGTACTGACCAAAATGATGCATCTTTTTTGAGGACTTGTGGTTCTGGCTCCTAAACTCAGGGACAATTTTTTATCATTCCCGCAAGAAGTTTGCGGGTATTTTCTGTTTTCCCTTTTACATTTATTGTGAGGGTACTTTAATTCACACTTCAGTCATTTATTTCCATGGACGACTTTTTCTCAACTTGACAGTGGTTATTGCTCAGCACCATAATTCCTCATGAAACCAAGGTCGTAAGGCGTAGTGAACGTTTGTAATTTTGTCAAAATTTGCATCACGTGTTGAACGTGGGTAGATCCCACAGCAAGCAAAAACACCAGGTGGCCATATTTCTTTGTATCTCTTGGTGTCCGAAATATAACGTCATCAAGCTAGCCTAGGCTGTTGATTTGTGGCTGTTTTGGTGATCAAGAAATGCTTTTAGTGATAAATTTGGGTGGAAGAAGTATTTCACAGAGAAAATTGTAGAAATTTGGACCATCTGCTTCATAGTGGCAACAACAGGGTCCTGAAGTCTTGAACAATGAAAAACTTTCTGTATAAGGACAATTTGGTGTTTTTTACTCAAAGTATCTAATTAAGTGTATTCTTCAGCCCCCCTCTAAGCCTACAAAACCATGAGGGATATATAGTTTTTTTTTACAGCTGTAGCTTCAAGCGTGAAATTTATTCAGCTCTGAAATAGCTGCTATCCTTTAGCTTTAGTATGTTATTTGCACTTACAGGTATTGTTTTTTGTCATGACTGTGCAAATGCAATATTTTGTGAGACAATAATGTAAGCGCCTGAGAAAATGAATTCTTTGAATTTTGTTTTTAAGTCCTGGAAAAGTCCTTGAATAAAGTTAATGAAACCTGTATTAACCATGAGCAATTTTTAGTCACAAACCATTTCAAATGGTCAGTTTATTGCGTCAAAAGTACTGACCAAACATAAATTTTACAGTGAAACTATTCAAATGAAAGAGAGTTTTTTCAGTTTGTGTTCAATTTTAAGCTGAGACATTACATTGTTCTGTTGCTTATTTGTGCCTGAAAAAGAAATTTTCTTGAGCCTACTGAATATGGACACCTTGTCCCTTAACTTCTGAATTAAGTGGGTTTCTAGATGTATTTTTATTCTTCGACTCTGCAGATCAATCAAAAGGACTTCTTGATGCACTGGCAGCTTTTTTCATTAAGCTCGACCATGCAGCTTGTCGGCAGAGTATCAAAGATTGGGAAGCATTTGCTGAGACTCTTCACATGTATTTTGCGACACATGAGAAGAATAGTTTGGAGGAGCTTTGGAACGACCGATCTGATTGGTGGCCACAATATCACTTTCGTCAGGATCTGGTACCTTCCAAATATCAAGTGTCAGAGACTGACTGGCAACTGGCCCAACACAAAGCTGATGCAGCAAGATGGCTTCTCGGGAAAAGTATGGTTACTATAATTTTATTTGAGTTGACATCATCATTAATCTTTAAAAAGTGGCTGCTTGCCACCATGTCAACATTAAAGTTTGACGTAATTTGAATCTTATCTCAGCAACATCAACAGTGAGGGTGCTTTCCAAAAGTCAGAACTGGCCGGCCAGACCATGACCAGACCAGTCATTATTATTTTTGTAAATTAAATAAACTTTTTCCAAGAGTTTTTGCTGAAAAACCATCTCCTTCGTGCATAATATTAAGGATTTGATAGATCTGGATGTAGTTTAGATTATAAGTGAAATTCTCATTATGATGAGAATGGTCTGGCCGGTCAGCTCTGACAAATAAAAAGCACCCTAAGTTTATCTCAACAAAGTTTTTCTGGGGAAAGGAAGTTTGGTTATAGAACTCTTAGTGGCTGTTTGTACAAGATTATAAAGTGGTCTTACTTTTCGTAAAGTTCTTTTCAACTCCTCACCACATTCTCGCAATGTATTTTGAGGGAATGTTTTCATAATTCGAGAACAAACAGGGACTCCTGAAGGAGTGGTGGTGGGGGTGGAGCAACCCCTTCTTTGGCCTGGAACTGCTGCTGGACAGCCATGAGAGTCAGGGTGGGTGTTAGTCTGTACTTTATTCACAACATTTTATGCATGTGCATGGTAAACAAGTGCTCCTCATCTTATTATAAGGTTTTTTGTTTTAAACACTGAAGCAAAAATGAAAAGATTTTGTCTTGGAAAGAGTCAGTGTTTGAAGGCCTCAGCAACACAACTCTATGTAAGCTTTCCCCTGGGTACTGGGTTAAACTTTCGAAATATTGTTACAATGTTGGTTGAGAGAATGTCCTGAAATGCTGAGATTATGCTGGTTGAAACAGTCACAAGGTTCCATTGACAAGATGAAGTGCATTTAAGTCATCGCCAATTGATGAGCTTGGGAACTGGTGCCTAAAAGGTTAGCGGGGGAGGTCAAATGCCAAAAATAAGGCAAAGAGGTAACCAGGCAACCCTGGAAGCGGGAACCACCCTTGCGAGCAGCTGCTAACTGGCACCGTCACACTGAGAAAAATACTCAGTGGAAGAGATACTTATCAAGTGACATACTTACCTGCGCACCTAGACATGACAGCAGGGAGGGAGGAGAGGGAGCAAGAATCCGCAAAGTTTCTCCAACACAAAGCTAAAAGGTGATCCGCAACGATCAGCGAGAATAGCTGGCAAAATAATTAACAATTATTGGACGAGGTTGAGCAATGTGATTTGTCTGTGGCGTGCGAGACAATGACAAATCACGATATTTTGCGATAACCGAGTTCAATAATTGTTTTATCATTCGATCACCGAGTTTGTTTTTTTAATGAATATCCTTGGGAAGCCAAGCGATCTGCCATTTTCACGCAACAGCGATGGCAAGAAGGAGAAAACAAGGTTTCCTTTATGCATGAGCAGAATATTATTTGCAGCCAAACACTACATTCCTCTTTTCAAGTACAGTATAACAAACTTGTTTAACCCTTGAAGTCCCGAGAGTTATCAACATCCATTTTCTCCCAACAGCATCAATAAATAATTATGAGGAAAGGTTGTGGGAACTGGTAAAATGATCCACAGAGGGAAAATGGTTTGATCTTTCATCGAATTCCCTCAACTGATTTTGTAAGGAAATGTATGGAGATCAGTGCAGAGAATTTGTATGTGGGTATTAGGGTTTAAAGGGTTAACATTTTGACAACAAAGAAATGTTGTAACCAGGGGCATAGACAGCTCTTAGACCTGTAGGCCCAGGCTTAAAAATTCTTGGTTTGATCACTCTACCGCTTGAAAAAAAATTATGTGTTGTTGGGGTGAGCTAAAAAGCTTGAGATCTCAAAGTGTTGGTGAGGTCAGTGCATTAACTAGTCATGCGTGCAATTTTCAGGATATGTGGAAATGACAGTCAGCCAGGCCTACAACTAGTCCAAAAGCTGGCTACGCCTCTGGTAACAGCACAAATGCTGCGAAAATGTTGCATTTGTCTGAAAGGCACTTGACATTTTGTCTCTTTGTTTCAAAGAAAACCCTTTCACCAAGGCTGTAAAGAGGCAAGAGTCACAGGACAACTCATCTTACAGTGACACAGCATCACCAAGAAAAAGAAAAACTATAACACTATTCACTGATTCACCATCGCCCCTCAAGAGAAAAAACAAAAATGGCTCCAAATTGCATGAAGAGAAGTCTCCCTCAACAAAGAGAAAA